AGTAGGCCTGCAGAGCGAGAGTGAAGTGCTCTAATAGGGTGATATGGTACTACAAGGTCATTAAGATAAGATGGGGCCTGATTATTTAAGACCTTGTATGTGAGGAGCAGGATTTTGAATCCTGGATTTAACAGGAAGCCAAAACAGGAGAAATCTGCTCTCTCTTTCTAGTCCCTGTCAGGACTCTTGTTGCAGCATTTTGGATTAGCTGAAGGCTTTTCAGGGAGTTTTTTGGACTTCCTGATAATAATGAATTACAGTCGTCCAGCCTGGAAGTAATAAATGCATGAACTAGTTTTTCAGCGTCACTCTGAGACAGGATATTTCTAACTTTAGAGATGTTGCACAAATGGAAGAAAGCAGTCTTACATTTTTGTTTAATATGTGCATTGAAGGACATGTCCTGGTCAAAAATGATTCCAAGGTTCCTCACAGCGTTACTGGAGGCCAAGGTAATGCCATCCAGAGTAAGAGTCTGCTTAGATACCATATTTCTAAGATTTTCAGGGCCGAGTACAATAACCTCAGTTTGATCTGAATTAAGAAGCAGAAAGTTAGCGGCCATCCAGGTCTTTATGTCTTTAAGACATTCCTGCAGTTTAACTCATTGGTGTGTGTTATCTGGCTTCATGGACAGATAGAGCTGGGTGTCATCTGCATAGCAGTGTAAATGTATGCTATGTCTTCTAATGATGCTGCCTAAGGGAAGCATGTATAATGTAAACAGAATTGGTCCTAGCACTGAGCCCTGTGGAACTCCATAATTAACCTCAGTGTGTGAAGAGGACTCTCCATTTACATGCACAAACTGGAGTCTATTAGATAGATATGATACAAACCACTGCAGCGCAGTACCTGTAATACCTACAGCATGTTCTAATCGCTCTAATAGGATATTATGGTCGACAGTATCGAACGCTGCACTGAGGTCTAGCAGGACAAGCACAGAGATGAGTCCACTGTCAGAGGCCATAAGAAGATCATTTGTAACCTTCACTAAAGCTGTTTCTGTGCTGTGCTGAGCTCTGAAACCTGACTGAAACTCTTCAAATAAGCCTCTGCAGATGATCTGTTAGCTGTTTGACAACTACTCTTTCAAGGATGTTTGATATGAAAGGAAGGTTGGAGATTGGCCTATAATTAGCTAAGACTGCTGGGTCTAGAGATGCTTTTTGAGTAAAGGTTTAACTACAGCCAGCTTGAAGGCCTGTGGTACATAGCCGATCATTAGAGATAGGTTGATCATATTTAAGATCGAATAATTAATTAATGGCAGGACTTCTTTGAGCAGTTTTGTAGGAATGGGGTCTAAAAGACACGTTGAAGGTTTGGAGAAAGTAATTATTGAAGTTAACTCAGAAAGATCAATTAGAGAAAAAGAGCAACACAGACATCACATGGGGATACAGATCGGAGATTGGTAGCGTTACAGAAAACAAACACTGAAATATACACTACAATGGGAAAGTACAAGAGGAAAAAAAGAGACCTCTACTCATGCTGGGCTCCTGGGAGGACAGCATGAGAACAGGAAACAAAAAAAGCACAACATTATGGAGCACGTGACAAGCCACAGGGTCGGGTGGGGGGTGAGGAGTAATCCGAAGCAAACACAGCAGCCATCCTGCCCAGCGCTACCATTCCTGCGCGGGCTCAGACCCGCCGTGTTCCCCAGGAGGGAACAAGCATCGAAGGCGTTTGGAAAGGGAGGGGGGATGAATGTATGCATATCAGTGTATATGTATGTGTGTGCGTGTCCAGAGTTCAGCTGAGACAGTGTCCTTCGCCCTGCTAGCCTAAGTAAACAGTCTAACAGCCAACCCAGGTGGCCTTGCATGGAATGGGAAGAACAGTCTAAACACAGTTGTTATCAGGGAGTTGTTGTTCGGCTTCAGCCTTGCGACCGCAGCTGGCGCCAAAAGGGTTTCCACATGAAGTGATGGTGGTTTTTACTTTAGTGCGAACAGCTCATATGAATTTCAAAGCAGTTCTAACAGTCCGACACTGGTCTCTCAATATCCCGTTGGAGAGCCGCGAGCTTCTCCATGATGTTATCAAACTTGCGCTCTGTGATGTTGTCATTCTTGTGCTCAAAGAGCCGATTCTGAGAACTCACGACCACAGTGAGCCTCCCCAAGATGTAATCCAGTCTGCACTCAGAGATCTTATTATGAGTATTCACGGCAGCCGTAAGCCTCTCAAAGATCTTATCCGTGCTGCACTCAATGAGCCCATTTTGAGAAACTCACGCCTCTTCCCATCGTTTTAACAACCATCTCACCCTCAACGTCGCAAAGACAAAGGAGTTGATAGTGGACTTCCGGAGGTGCAGCACACATGCCCATCACCATCAACGGCGCTGCTGTGGAGAGAGTGAGCAGCTTCCAGTTCCTTGGTGTACTCTATCATCAGCAGGACGGTATGCTGACCGTCTGACTGTATGGTTCCAAAACACTATCACCAGCCGAGAAAGAGGAAACCAGCGGATGTCGCGCTAAACAACAGCAGCACGTTTAAGCTTGATCAGCTGTTGTTAGAATTTATTTAATATTAATTTCTAGTATCAGCTGATGTTTGCTGGAGCCACAGCTGTAAAGCTGCTGGTCATGATGTGGGTTTGGATATGTGGTGAGAGGGAAACATGAAGATGAAACCAGGAGATGTCCTTACTGAACCATCAGAGCTGAACAGGTGATGGAGAAACAGGTTTACCTTTTAGGTGACATGGATGAGTTAAAGTTATGAACTGTTTCTGAGAGACAAATAACACCAGGATCCTTTTCTAAGTAGCTGACAGCTGGTAACTGTGCAGGGGCGGGTCTAGTTCTGCCAGGGGGGCAGGTAGGGCATTAACAGGGAGAGGGGGGCACACACTTTTATTTCTTAGTCTCATTTAAAATGCTTTTAATAAATAATTATCTGAATCTTACAACCAAAGTTTTTATCTGATATAAAATGTATAGAAATCACACATATACCAACAAGACTGTACATCACTGTCACAACAGCGTTTTCATTCAAAGGCTTTATGGCTTTAATACCTGGTGGGTCGGTCTCTCGTCAAAATGCCCGGGCTGTTTTTTTGTCCCAGTCCAGCCCTGGGCACGACACGCAGTGAGTTAATCTGAGAAGGTGCATTAAAAAATAAATGACGGTGCACATCGCACATTAGTTGTGCCGCTTCTTAATGACAGTATCTTAGCTAACAACCCCAACTACCAGATTCAACTTGTAATTGGCTAAAAAATAACTTCGCCTACCGGTGAGAGGGACGTTGCTAGCTGGTAGTTTTTTCAAGCGATGTTGAAATTTTCACATTCCGGCACTTCAAATGCTTCAGGAGCTGTCCGCTCAGCGCAGCATCAGCACCACGGAAATACACGGATACATCCGTAGACTCGAGACAGAATTCACAATGGGTTCAATTCAATTCAATTCTTTATTTATTTGTCACATGTAGTTATAGCTGGTACAACATACAGTGAAATGTTTTTTCTGGCTAAAAAAGTACTCCCCCCGACTGTGCAAACATGCTAAAAAGGATTTTACATAAGCTAAGAAAAAAGGAAAAGAAACAAAAGTTAAAAGTAAAAAAATATATAAAAAAACAATGTAAAAGTCCATATGTTTGTGCTTATAAATATATATCCATGACGTGCAAGATATTGCACTGTAATGAGTTGAATGAGAAGACTATAAAAATATACATATTTACATAGTACAGATGTATATAATAAGGTACGGATAAGGTTCAGAGAAGAAAGATAAAGTGCAAATTATGTACTGTGTGTGAGATTGTCCATCATGTTGTCCGGTTTGTGTTTTGGTTGAGGAGTCTCACAGTTTGTGGGTAAAAACTCCTCCTGAACCTTTCTGTTCTTGTTTTCAGGCTACAGAGGCGCTTCCCTGACCTCAGTGGCCTGAACAGTTTGTGGGCGGGATGGCTAGAATCCCTAATGATCCTGATGGCCCTGGATCTGCACCTTTCAGCATAGATGTCCTGCAGTGCTGGTAGAGATGTTTTCGGGGCTTTCAGGTGTTTGGATCAATGTTTTCTTTTCTAATCAAATCAAAAAGCTTTAATGAGCAGCTGGATTTGTCTCGCATTAACTGGTTGGACACAGAGGACATCGAAATGCAGCTGATTGAACTGAAAAGCTCGACTCTGTGGGGGTCAAAGTTTGTAGAACTACGGACGCAGCTGGAATCCACTGCTGTGCGTGTTCATGGAGCTGCATGTTCACCTGCTAGACATCACTACCTGACAAGTTTAACTGTCTTCAGAACATTGCAGAGGCCTTATTGACAGTGTTTGGCTCTACATGTCTGTGTGAGCAGATTTTCTCTCACACGAGTCCTCAGGTAGCCTCTGAATGCTGGACACTCGGAGACCTGTGTGTCTGAGTGGGAGACCAGAGGTCACATTAACATGTGTGTCTCTGTATTAACAAACATGCCATATTGGCCCAGTTTATTTTTCTTATCATTGTTGTGAGGAGACTGTCATGATATGAGTGAACAGTTGTTGTTTAAGGTGCAGTTCATGTGGAAGCCACCGGAGGGTGGTGTGGAGATAATAAAAAAGTGATGGCTAAAACCTAAGACGGTGTCATGTCTGCTCCCTGAAGCAATATCGTAACAGAGACCATAAATAGCATTTGGATTTTCTGTTGTACAGTTCATTTGCTGTTATGGATAAAAAGTGTCTTTTTTTTGTTTCCAAACAGCTGATAAATATTCGCTGATAGCTGCCAACATCTGTGAACATAATTTTATAAAGTGGTTCTATATAGTAAGTAACTGTTAATATAGAGCGTTATTAAATTTATTGCTAATGCAATCATATGGCACACTGACTTCTGAGGGAATTTTAGATGCACTCATCATCAGAAAGGTTGTCGACCCCTGTAATAGATCCATACACTGATATATATAACGGAACAAAACGTTCACCTGCTTTTATAGCCGGAACTTTATAATGTGACACACAGAGGAAACAGTCCTGGCGCTACGTCTAAGTTAGCCGCTTGTTGAAGCTGGAAAACGGTTGCATTCGCGTATAACAGAGAAATATTTGAGCTGTCAAAGTAACGATGTGTTCCGTTGAGTATTTGCGAGAGTTTGTTAGCGAGAGACTAACGGCTGCTGCTGAAGAGATATTCGGCGTCTTTGTTAAAACGATGGTCCAGAATGAGGCCGAGATCAGTCAGCGCAGACTGCAGGATATCACTGTGAAGTTCCCCAAAATAAAGTTACACAGAATCGGTAGGTAACGCTCCGATGGTGTTAATGAACCCAGAGTGGTACTGCTATGTGTTTGAGTACTGGTGAGCTGATGGACGGCGCTACCGAGCATGCTCACGTCTGTGATGTGATTCTTAGGTAAGCGTTAGTGAGGTTTGGGGTGTGTCCAAATTCAGGGGCTGCATCCTTTAAAGGACCCGGCCTGCCCGTGCACGAAAGACGGGAAGACCGGAAGTTAGCGGCTTCTGTAGGTCTAACCTAAGACGCGCGCCTCCTGTTGCCTAGCAACCGTGACAGTACCTGTTACACCCTTGGTGACCAGCATGCTCGACAGAAATAGAGAAAATCTTTATTTTGTGACTTTTATTGGAGAAATTGAGATGTTTCAGTGTCCTGTGATGATTCACCACAGCCATGGGCTGAGTCACAACGGTAATGTTAACTTCCTACATTATTAAGCCTGCAGCTATTGATTATTTTCTAATGATTATACCATCAATTAATTGAGTAATCTGATAAGAAATACTTTTGTCTTATTAATGAGCAGTTATAAATATTCAAAAGAGAAACCAAAATGAATAGAATAAACTCCTCATTGGTTCCATTTTAGAAATTGCAATGTTTTAAACTACATACAACATCTATTTGTACGTGCCATATTTAATAAAAACAATTCTTGAAAGAAAACATTTTAAATAAATAAATTTTTATTTATATAGCACCTTTCAAGACAGAATCACAAAGTGCTGCACATAAGATTGCAAGTCTTGCTACTGAGTCCACAGTTCTTAATGTTAGGGGGGAGAGTTCCACAGTCTCGGGGCCACAGTGGCAAAAGCTCTGTCACCCTGAGTCCTCCTCTTAGTATTTTTTTATAGCAAGTAAGCCCTGATCAGATGACCTCAAAGACCTGCTAGGGACATCGGGCTGTAGCAGATCAAAGATGTAGGCTGGTGCCAGTCCGTGCACAGCTCTGTAGGTCAAGACCACGATCTTAAAATCGACTCTAAATTTAACAGGAAGCCAGTGTAACTGAGATAATAACGGTGTCACATGTGAGTACTTGCAGGATTTTGTCAAAAGCCTCGCTGCAGCGTTTTGCACAACCTGCAGCCGATCCAGTGAACCTTTGCTTAGACACATAAACAGCGAATTACAATAATCCAAGCGTGACGAAATAAATGCATCTATAGCAATCTCGAGTTCAGAGCGAGATAAAACCGGGCTCAGCTTAGCCACATTTCTTAAATGATAAAAACAAGACCGAGCCAGAGATTTCACATGCCAAGGTGTCAAAGGTGACACCTTAATTCCTGATAGAGGATTTAACATAAAGTGAGAGAGGACCGAGGGCTTTCACTATCTGCGATAGAAACCTATCAGGGGCGCATACGAGGACTTCGGTTTTCCCCTCGTTGAGTTGGAGGAAATTTGCAGCCATCCAACGTTTGATCAAATCTAAGCAATCATTCAGACGCTGAAGCTTAGATAAATCCTCGGGCATAAAAGAAACGTACAACTGAATGTCATTAGCATAATTTTCTTAAATGCAAAAAAATACAAATAATCTCAAGTATGGTCAAAATCTATATGCAATCTAAACGCAGGCATAAAAAAATTAGTGTCGAGGATTATTTATGATCACATTGCTTGATGAATCGTAGTCCTTCATCTCTCCCCTTGCAGCTGGACGCTTGCAGAGGGAAGTCAAAAATAGCAGCAAACATTTATCAAGTATCAGTTAACTTGCGAGGTGAAAACACAATTTTGAGTTCAAATTACATGGACTTGTTTTATATGTTTTAAACAAAGAGAAAGGGGAAACGGGACATCCTGCTGATATGTTCAGGTTGTATGATATAAGCATGACAAAAACAGAACAGAAACTGGGTGAGTGTTTCTCCATTCACTGTCAGTCTTGTTATTTGTTGCTCTATACAGGATGAGAACACATTCAACTAAAACACAGCATGGTTAAGTTAGTCCTTTGTTTTATCTTGGGATAAGGTGGGGCTCTTTAAAGGGCCACACATTACACACCAGTTTTTAGTTAGGATCGCTAATATGATGAGTATCACAGACACTCAGATTCATCCCATCACTGTCACTGACCACTAACACTACCATGCAGTGGTTTCTATCTTTTTGACATTACTCTAAGAACAAGATTTCTTAATCATCAATCATCCTCACGATTTAAATTTGTAACGCTCTCAACCCCCAGAATTAACAGAATTTGGACAAACTGCCCGAAATGCATTGACAGAGATATTTCAGGGATATAGACTCAGTCTGCGCTCCATATGGGTTAATTGTTAAATGCGTTAGTTGTGATGACGGCACATTAACGCTGACAGCACTAAAAAAATATAAAGTCCCCAATTTGGGATTTCTTTGGCTTTAAACCAAATAAAAGAGGTAAACCTAAGGATGTAACCAAAGTGGTGTGTCGCTTGTGCAGACGTATAGTGCGAGCAAAGCTCTCAAACACTGACATGAGCATGTACATGTCCACCATCCGGCTGAGTATGCTAGGCTATCACCAGCTTCTGCAGCTCTCTGAGGAGGGGCATTTGCTCGCAGATCAAAGAGGGTGCTGTTAAAACAGCGCTATTATTTTTTTTTCTGTTGACTTCTATGAGCTCCATCATGATTAGCAAACCTAGTCATGGGAAAATAAATAAATAAATCGCCCTTGTAAACACTATCGTCAATCGTCGATATATTGTCCAATTGCCCAACCCTAGGCTGATCATTTTCATTTCTATCACACGATGTGGATCCTCTTGGTCCTAACACTCTATACTCCTTATCAGTATAGATCAGTGTTTCAGTACTAAGTATGAGTGTTTTTCTGTCATCACACATGTAACCTTGTTTTGTCCCTTTGTCTCGATAGACCTCCCACAACAACTTGTCATTAATAATAAAGATGAGGCTCTTATAGAGCAGCAGCAGCACTGTAACCAGGAAAGGAACTCCAGATTGGTCCAGGAGGAAGCAGAGCCTCTCCTGATAAAAGAGGAGCAAGAGGAAGACTGTTCCAGTAAGCTGCTTGTATTAACAGAGACCAGCACCTTTATGGTGACTTTAACTAATTAGGAGTGGTTGATGAACCCGACCCAAACGTTAACCAGTTCCTCTCTCAAACTTCTCCTGTAGTGGACACCAGAGACCAGCAAGGAACTAAACATGTAGAAATGGGATCAACCACCAATGAGGAGCTGAAGCCAAAGAAGAAATGTCACAGAACCAAAAATTACAATGTGGACATCTCTCCCATGTCAGGGAGTCACTGTAACATGGACACAGGTAAGAAATCTGTACATATAACGATCGCTCCCAAGGCCCGGCCCGGACAAGCAGCAGCAGGATTATAACCATGTTTAAGCTCAACTTTTAAAATATCAAGTATTAAGTGTCTTTGGTGCCTAGATGAAAATCAGTCAGAGTGTAGCAATTAGACATCTGGTGCTTTTCTAAACAAATGTTCTTGCTGTTCAAGAATTGGACGACTTGTTCCTGTCGTGTTTCTCTCTAAATGCTGCGTCCTCATCACCAGCTGTAGCCCTGGCATAGCTGCAGTGTGTCCAACCCAGTGAGAATAAGATCATCAGGATTATTGAACGGGAATATTGTTCATCAATCCTTTGTTCAGTTCAGTCTACTGATCCCTTTGACTGTGGCCTCCTCCGTTAGGCTCACGAGGTTAACCTGCTGGTTTACACTGTGCTGACCACAACTAAGAAGCTCACGTCTTGGTTTCTTAGACATGTTTCGTTTTGTTTTTCAGTCAGAGAAAACAAAATATCTACAATATTAAGTCGGGGTTAGAGGAACATTTCTCTGTAGCCACCACGTCACCATACGCTTCCCAGAAACCCCAAATGGTCAAAAGTAGAATTATAACATCACCGTACTCTCAGCAATATTCAAATTTTAAGTGGATGGTTCAACAAAAATGTGTTGATTCAGGAAGGACATTTGAGCCCCTTCACACGCAGAGAAAAGCTAGTTGGAAAACACTGGCAGCCATCTTGAAAACCCATCTTGTGGTTTGTTGTAGGTTCATGTTCAAATTTCTGTCCACTGTTCACTCTTTGTGTCTCTTTGTAAGTGAGGTTTATTTATTAAGCGCTTTTCGTAGACAGGCAGTCACGAAGCGCTGTACACAAAGGTTACAATAAAGAAAACATTAAGTAACAAAATAGACAATATAAACAATGCAAATTCAAAACAATTCAGAAGTGTTGATTAACAGAAGGCCTGTTTAAATAATAAAGTTTTAACTGCTTTTTAAAGGATTCCACAGAGTCAACCAAACGTAACTGTGGTGGCACGACTGAAAGGCTCCGCCCCCTTTCATCTTCAGTCGTGTTCGGGGAGAAACCAACAAACTGTGAGCCTGTGAGCGAAGACAACGAGCAGCAGAGTATTTTATAAGAAGCTGGGGCCATTTAGTGCTCTGTATGTTAAAACAAGAATTTCATCATCTATTGGGAGCCAGTGTGAAGAATATAAAATGGACTACCGTTAGCCAGAATTCATTTGTTTACATGTGAGCAGCTGATAATAGTTAAACTTTCTTTGTCCGGCCTGGCTTTCTGCTTCAGGCTTCGTGTGCGCTCACATAAAATGAGGTGTTTCATACACAGATTACTCCAATCAGAAACTTTATCAGATGAAAATAATAAAATGTTGATTAAAGATCTGTACAGAATATAAAAAATATGTTGCAAATAAGAGAAAATTCATTCTGCAGGGACTCTTTCATCTTGGGATTTTGAGCGTGAAGCAGTAAAATAAATATTTCAACTCAAGTTGATTGTGTTAATCCTGCTGTTTATTTTTAAAATGACAGCTGCACATTAGAGCGCTGAAGTTCGAACTAAAACATCTACCCTAACCTGGACCTACAACATGCTGCACACCAAACAGCTTCAGCTGAAGTGAAACCTGAACCCACTGGTGTTAACAATCCGTTGGCCGTCACAAAATTTGCTTAGATCTTCATTTGTATATGAATACAGCACTGACTGTTTTATGTGCCACTTTGTCTCTCCAGACCAGCTCCAGCAATATGTCTGCAAGGAGGAGGTTCTCGAGGACTTGTACCTCTTTAACCTGGAGAACTCTGGTCTGGATCAACAGGACGTTGGATCGGCTAAGATTAAGGAAGAATGGACGGAACTTTGCACAAGTCAGGAGAGACAGGAGCTTGTAATTGACCAGGAAACCAGTCCATTAACAGTAATTTATGAGGAAAAAAACTACTGCCAGCCGAAACCAAGCAGTCACCTGCTCCTCTCTCACAACTCTCTACATCAAAAAAGAACATCCACAGATGACAAACCATATTCTTGCAACACTTGTGGGAAAAGATTTAAATATGCATCAAAGCTAAAAATACACACGAGCATTCACACAGGTGAGAGGCCATTCTCGTGTGACGCATGTGGGAAAACATTCAGGAGAAAGGATAACTTGTTGGTCCATATAAGAACTCACACCGGTGAGAAGCCATATTCCTGCAGCATTTGTGGGAAAGCATTTAGAGACAGCTCAAATCTGATATATCACATTAGATTTCACACAGGTGAGAAGCGATACTCGTGTGAAACATGTGGGAAAAGATTTTATCATAAAGGCAATTTAACGGTGCACATGGTGACGCACACAGGTATAAAACCTTACCACTGCAAGATTTGTGGAAAAAGATTTGCTTGCTTAGCAAACTTGAAAATTCATGCAAGGACTCATACGGGTGAGAAGCCATATTCTTGTGCGACATGTGGCAAAACTTTTAGTCAGAGGACAAATCTGAAATTCCACACAAGAATCCACACAGGCGAGAAGCCGTATTCCTGTAAAACATGTGGGAAAAGTTTCATTCAAATGAGGGATTTGACCGTGCACATAAGGACTCACACGGGTGAGAAGCCCTATTCCTGTGTAACCTGTGGTAAGAGCTTCAGTCAGAACAGTCATTTGAATGTCCACATGAGAACTCACACAGGTGAGAGGCCATATTCTTGCAAAACTTGTGGTAAAACTTTCAGTCAAAATAGTCATTTGACTGTCCACATGGGGTCTCACACAAGTGAGAGTTCTTGCAAAACATTTGCAAAAACTTTTAGTCAAAATGAGAACTCACACAGCTGAGAGGCAGCGCCTTTGCAAATCTAGCAAAGGTTTCAGTTTCATGTCAGCAGTTGGCAAAGAATCACATTAAACTGGATCTCTACACCGTTAGCTTCTTTACTTGAATCTGTGGAACATGCCAATGACAGCAGAGTTTGACAGGCATAAAAGAGTATTTTGCACCAACAAGGAGCTATTAGCTAAAAAAGTAGCATAGTGTGCAGTGTGTCCTTAAATAACCTGAAACTACACAAGAAAGTGTGGCAGTAATAGGGTGACTGTCAAGCAGCCATTCTTAGAAAGGAACACTTCAAGGATGCTAAATTACACAAGAACTAGACTGAAAATGAGCAGCAGCAGGGCATTTGGGGTGAGACTCCAAACCTTGGGTCAAAAGTCATACATGCATACAGGAGAGGGTAACAAAAGCCGTATGTAAAACATGGTGGAGGCTCTGTGGTGATTTGGAGCTGCATTTCAGCCAGTGGTGTAAGGGATCTTGTGTGGGATCATCTTATAAACCTTTTAAAACATGGCTTCAGCGTACATGTAAATATGTATATACATCTGTATATACATATGTATATACCAGTATGGTACATGTACTGTATTGGTCCCAGTGTAGGTCATAGTGTGAGTTGTCACTGTGTGCTAAATTTGTATTCAAACCCTAACTGAAAAGTGTGTGAGTCTTGGAAACATTTATCTGTTGAAAACCTTTTGTTTCTGTTTTTTGGTGAGTTCTGAACCTTTTTGTCCCACTTTGTTCCAGACTTCGAGTATAACATTAAAACTTGATTTGTGTCAAAACTGCCTTTTAAACTAACTTCCTTTTGTCAACGAGGTTTCAATATTTACTTCCTTTTCTGATGGACTGACTTTAAATCTTTCTTTCTGTGTTTCAAAACAACACTGGATACAAATTCATGTGACCATTAGGTTCTGTACGGTAAACGTACACTGATACTAATGCAAACGGAAAACGTAACGTTCACGGTGGTCCAACAAAAATAAACACTATGTAGGAAAATCAAGCAAACTGATGATGTTTGTGCAAATCTTCGTTCAGATTGGCCCAGCCGTTAAGGAGGAGGTGGGGTACGTACAGATGTGTACGTGCATACTTTGTGATTAGGGCCGGCTCTACGCTGGGGCAAGAGGGGGCAGCGGCCCCTTAAACAAACATCCTGCCCCGTTCAGTCAAACTTTTAGACGTTGAAGGACAATAATAGATTTCCCACAAACTGAATATGGACAAGATTTAGTACATTTACTACAGTAGCTCTCATTCGCTCTTTTCCTCCGTACTCTGTGTGCAGGCTCACACAGCACTCACCAGAGATCCCTCCCCCCCAGCTAAGCATCCAATCACTGTCAGTATGCAAATGAGCCTGTGTCAGGTTTCTCAGTAGGCAGGGTAGAGCAAAATGAAGCAGCAAATCTCTGTCGTCTCGTGAGATAATTAACTAAAAAATACATCTATGTTTGTACAGTGTGTGACTATTGTTTCAGTACAGACGTGTTTATCTCTGTGAGCCTGTCTGCTGCACAGACCCGACACAAAGCCGCCCAGCTTTCAGCTCTGCAATCAACAGTTCCCTCATTTCATATACTAAAGTAATCACAGTAATCACACACACACTTCCAGCAGCTCACAAAGGGAAGTTAAGGTCCTAAACCCCTGTCGTCACACCATGTTACATACAAGGAAGAGGAATTGGGTGATCTTGACCCATGACAAGTCCATAACATATAACTTGGATATGGAAGAGACATGGTGATTCGAAATTTTATTTAATCCTATTTTATTCTTACTTTATTTTGCACATTTATTTGAGAATTAGGCCACCCAAGATAAATTTTATATTGTTGGTTGTAAAGGTCTGGATGATAGTTTTATTTTATTTTTCTGTTTTATTTTTCAAGACTTGGTGAATTGACTTTATTTTTATAACTTGGCCCTTTTTAGTTTTGTTAATATTGGGTTTGAATATATTCGATAGAGGCCATCCACTTAAAGTAAATGTTTTTAGTTGTGATAATCTGATGAAGAATATTTTTGTTTTATTTTTCAGTTTTCCCCCTGAGGGATTGCCGCCTTAACATGATCGGGCGTTTGCAAGCCTCAGTGACCCTGAAAGCTACACCAGCAGAAGCTTAGCCTTCAGGTGGGACATGCAGATGGTCAGGATTTTAGGTTAGAGGCCTGACAAAGTGCAATCCAATTACATGACAAAAACAGTTATCCAAAGCACCCCACCCCCAGCCACACTGCTCTTATGCTGAGAACTAAAAAAAGGTATAGGACATAAATGGTAATTTGGGATTTTTTTTTTTCATTTAATGAGTTCTTTTTCTCCCTATTGCCAGTCTTGGCAGCCGGGGGTCAGTCCGCCAGGGCCTCCGCTCCTGGCCGCCACCCGGCACACAATGCACCTCTTTGCTTAGGCTGCTGCCCCCGCGACCCGGCCCCGGACAAAGCGGATGAAGATGGATGGATGGATGGAGTTCTTTTTCTAGAGTGGAAGGACTACCTACTTTCCAAAACAGATTTGGGTGCACAAGTTTGAAATTATTTTTGGTTGATGATGAATTTTGCAGTTGTATCATCTGATCTGTGGCCTTGTGAGCCATCAAATAATTACCACCTGGTGCTCAGTTAGATCAGTTGGTGGGGATAAAATGCCGGACAGGCCTGGCACAACTAAAGCTATAGTGAGGGTATGCTGGAAATGCCCATAAAATTCTTTAACTCCCAGGACTTCAACAGCATTCCGAGGGAGGCTGGGGACACTGAGTCCGAAAGGACCAGTTTTCTAACCCTCCATTGCTGAGGCTGCTGCAAGGAGCTGCAGAGGTGGTTGGAGCCTGGTGGTTATCCCCGAACCAGATGGTGGAGACCGCAAGTGAAAGGAGCCATCAAGTGTGAAGTGAAAGGACTTCGGAGACAGCTCATGGGCACCAGCAGGCCAAGCGAACCGCAGCTCGGGCAATGGCTAAAGCAAAACTTGGGTTTGGGAGGAGTTCAGTGAGGCCATGGACAAAGACTTTTGGTCTGCCTTGAAGCATTTTGAACAAAACTTCAGGCAATTCAGGAGGGTAAAGCTGTGCTCTCCCCCCACATGGTATATAGTCCAGGTGCTGCTGAATTGAACTGAGGGCAGTGGAAGGAATCCTTTAAAACCTCCTTAACCGAACTGACACATCGTCTGTAGAGGGTACGAGGTTTCACTGAGGTGAAAACAACTCTTGGGTTGTTGTGATTAACTCTTTGGTGGATGAGCCCCTGCAGTCGATCACTTTCACCCTGAACTAACTAGGATGACTCTTAAGTGATGAGTAAAGTGATGATGACTCTAATGGTCAATGATTGACAAAATAGGAGAACAGTCAATCAGTCCGTTTTTGTACAAAAGGTGCAAACCTACTGCCATAAAAGAGTGTTATACTCTTATTACTTATAATTTTTTTTCTTAGCATTAATTTGTTTTTCTTTTTGGCAAAAAAGAATAAAATCCAGTCAGCTTCTACCACTTATCCAGAACGACACTGTAGGATGGGACCATGAAAAGTAAAGTTGGGGTTCCAAAGAAAAGACAAAAGAGAGGATGACACAATTTTATTTTTATTTTTTTTACCAAAAAAGGTTGGCCTTGTCTGTGGGTGATAGAAGTGAAACTCATAGCCACGTCCACATGAAAGAAAATCTGTGACTTTTATATTTAATATTTTAATTTAATAATAGTTAGATTACTTAATGTGTCTCTCTAACACAGGAAGTCAAAGCTGTCCTCAACATGAAGAAGAAGGCTTTCAGGAGCAAAGTGAAGGAGGAGATGAAAGCAGCACAGCGGGAGGTGAAACGCTGCCTGAGGGAAGCAAAGGACACCTACAGGAGGAAGGTGGAGCAGAAGTTGGAGAGGAACAATATGAGGGAGGTCTGGAATGGTGTGAAAACCATCACAGGCCACAACACCAAGAAAAGCACAGTGGGGGGGACTGTGGAGAAGGCAAACGAACTCAACAACTTCTTCAACAGGTTTGACCAGCCCACAACCCCCCCACCCTCACCCTCACTACAGAGTCCTCTCCCCACTCTCCTGCCTCCCTCGCTTCCCCCCCTTCCTGACACCATGACACCCCCCTCCTCCAATCCCTCTCTCAGCAGCAAGACATCTCCCCCCCTCCCCTCCTCCCAAACATCTCCCAGTGTCACAGTGGATCAGGTCAGGAGGCAACTGAGGAAGCTTCGCCCCAGAAAGGCAGCAGGCCCAGACAAGGTGTGTCCTAGGATGCTAAAGGCGTGTGCTGCTGAACTTGGGGAGCCGCTACAACGAGTCTTCAATCTCAGTCTGCGACTGGGGAGAGTGCCCGCCCTATGGAAGACATCCTGCATCGTCCCGGTCCCCAAAAAGAACCGGCCCAATGAGCTGAATGACTTCCGACCGGTGGCACTGACGTCACATCTTATGAAGACTCTAGAGCGGCTCTTCCTCAACCTCCTCCGACCACAGGTACAACATGCCCAGGACCCACTACAGTTTGCATACAAGGCGGGTGTCGGAGTGGAGGATGCCATCCTGTACCTCCTACACAGAGCCCACTCACACCTGGATGGGGGAAAAGGCACGGTCAGGATCCTGTTTCTTGACTTTTCCAGTGCCTTTAATACCATCCGGCCCTGTATGCTTCAGGAAAAACTGAACAGGATGGAGGTGGACCCCTGCCTGGTGGCTTGGATCTCCGACTACCTCACCGACAGACCACAGTACGTCAGGCTGAAGGACATCACGTCTGACACAGTGGTCAGCAGCACAGGAGCACCACAGGGAACTGTGCTGTCCCCTCTTCTCTTCACCCTGTACACCTCTGACTTCTGCTACAACTCTGAATTATGCCACATTCAGAAGTTTGCAGATGACACGGCCATCATGGGATGTATCTGGGATGATCAGGAAGAGGAGTAAAGAAGTCTGGTGAGGAACTTTGTCGCATGGAGTCACACAAACCACCTGCAACTCAACACCTCAAAGACTAAGGAACTGGTTGTGGACTTCGGGAGGTCCAGAGCAGGTCCACTGCCGGTTCAGATAGAGGGGGAGGAGGTGGAGGTGGTCAACAAGTACAAGTACCTCGGGCTGTGGGTGGACAATAAACTGGACTGGTCATGCAACA